TAATACGTATTCATATACTTGATATAAATGATTGTATACCATCATTTAATCAAACAATTTATCAAACAACTATGATACCTAATATAACTAATTTTCTAATAAATGCATATGATTGTGATGAATTAAATAGTGAAAATAGTCGAATAACATATTCTTTATCAAATTATCAAGATTTATTTCATATTAATGAAACAACTGGTTTAATTGAATGTATTAAAAATACAAATACATATGAAAATTATGAAATAATTGTTGTTGCACGTGATCATGGTAAACCATCATTATCATCAACAATATTAGTTCAAATACAATTAATATCATCAATTCATAAAAAAAATTCTTTATCATCAACATCATCATGGTTACATGTTGAACAAAATCCTCAAAATATTCTTATACTTGCTGGTATTCTAGCTATTTTATTTGTATTTATATCATTATTTATATGTTTAATATGTTGTATAAAATATAAAATTAAACGATGTAAAGAAGATAATAGTTTAACAACAACAATGACAACAACAAATTATAATAATATTGATACAATATTAAATGAAAAAAAAACTTTTAGTTCAACATCATCAACAACATCATCGAATGATCTTCAACAACATACAGCTAATGGAGAATTTACACGTATTACAGATGATTTACATTTTGAACGTGCAGCAGTAAGTCAAACAAAAAAAGACAATTTTTTTTGTTAAATGATATAGGCAACATATTGCGACAATATTTTAGATTCTTTATGATACAATGAATGTCTTTCCAAATACATATTATTTACCACTTAAAAGACAATCGGAATTAATTGAAAATGTTAATAATTCAAATAATAATGATACATCATTGCATATACCACAATCATCATCATCAACAACAAGTAGTCCAATATCAACGAATGCAATTGATACAAAAACTGGTTCAGATGATGGATGTTATTGTTCGAGTGATATGTCATCTGAACAATCGAATAATCTTCTTTTACTTAATCCATCATCACTTTCAACAACAAATCCAAAATTATCATCAAAACATGTACGATTTATAGAAAATAATATGAATACAGATGGAGCTTTAAAACGTTTTGAAAATCTTTATGGAACACGAACAACATCAGACCATTGTGCTTCTTATGTTTGATCTGTTAATCTCATTTTTTTTCTCGTGTGTGTCTGCATGTATATATATATATCTACATCTTCAAAAAAGAAAAAAGGAACAGTCGATCGATTCGGATCATCAATTTTTATTCTTTCAGGTAGCCAATATTTATGCTTAGAGCGTCCGACGGCGACTACTAACTGTGGGATGTCAATATTTTTTCCCGATAAAAAGAATTAAGCTTGTGAGTCTTCAAAAGGTCAGTCTACGACATTGAATATGTATGCTTGCATGCATATATTGTATACGTGCTTGATACTCACAATCCGATTATCTCTATTGTGCGCCGCAATGATCATAATCCATATTGCGTGTGTTACTCTATTATTGTTACAGACGCGAGACGATCAGAAAAAACAAGTTGACCATTTCTTTTTCCATCAGAACCATCCTAATTAGTAATTCTCCAAATGACAAAGCTGTTGCTGCCATTCTTAATTGGAAGAAGACAAAAGAAGGACTAGATTATGTTTAGAGAATATATTTATTATATGTCGAAAGACAAAAACAGAATAGCAGATGTCCGATTATTTATTTTATATAAAGCATAAAATAAAAAAAAAGAAGAATGCATATAAATATATTTATGATTACATGTACGAGGCTTCATTGGCATGTCATTGAAAACCGATTTATCGTCGTTCATTTATCATTTTTAAATATTTTGATAGGATGATAAACTTAGGACATACTTTCACCACCAAATATACTTATTTGTAGAGAATGAGAATGAGAGTGAGAGAGAGAGACAAGCAATTACTCATATGTATGTAGAGATAGACGATGATGAGAATTTAACAAGATCTCTTTTGTTTTATATTGTTCAAGCAACTGTGACTGATCGAGTGCATATATTAATATATGTATATATGATGAAATGACTTGAGATTTGTATGTGTAGATTGTTTGATCTCTTTCGTCGCCTCCATCTATATCTACCCGCTTGTCTTCAAAAGAGTAATTTTCTTTCTTTTTCAATAAACACGAATGTTTGTATATATATATCTATTAAGACGGTAAATTGAAATTCTTGAATTCACACACACACACACACTTCTATTGATTCAATGCATTTCATAGATAGATAGATAGATATACGTGTTTAAGTCGTGATGATTATACTTGATAAATAACAGTACTGTAATGAGAATTTGTGATTATGATGATGATGATGTCGATGAAAATTGAATTCATTCTCTTCTGAATTTTTTTTTCTCTTTTTCTGGAAATCAAAAACAGCTTGATAGAAATTGTATGTGTATGTCATTGTTATATTGACTATTTGCATATAATCTATATTCTAAATATGTGTTTGTATACGAATATGTCTTTGTTTCAATCAGAAAACTACCACGACTGCCATCATTCGCTTTCTCTCTCTTTCTCTTATACAGTCTAATTTCAATATTGACCATCGACGGATGATGATGCTCGAAAAAAAAATTGAAAGAACATTGACCTTCCTCAACGGAAAGAGTCAAGCTGTCCTCTTGTCTTCATACAATTTTACGAGAGCTCATCATTATTAGACATTATTACTTTATAAATAGGCGAATATAATCCAAAAATTGTTTACTTTTATATTATTATAGAGTACATGTGAATTTTATGTGTTACAGCTGTCGTTGATTGACTACTCTCATTACTAGTTCATCACAAATACTTTAGCTAATCAAATTTCTTTTGTTGTTCTTTTTTATTGTATTCGAAAAAATTATATTGAATAATTGATTCAATCTTACGTATGTTGCAATGTTTGTCTGCACCAAATAAAATAGACAATGACTTTTTTTTTATTCTTTAGAATCATGTAATACCCACTGGTGACAATGACCAAATTGTGACCAGTCAAAAAATAAATTGGCGAATGTAAATATATGAGCATAAGGAATTGCCTATCACTCGAGCTTTTCTTTTAATCCCTTATGAGAAAACGAATAAATTTTCTTGACTTTATATACCTATTTAAGTCGTATGTTTGTTTATTATTATCAATCTTTCAAATATAAAAATTGATCTGTTAAATCAAATTTTCATTAGTTCAAACTCAACTATTTTTTGAATATGGTCATTTTATAATCAGTTGATTATGTTTTACTTGAAGAAACAATAAATAGATTGTTTAAAACATATTTTTCTATTATTTATAATATTTAAAATTTTCTTTTTTTTTTCTTTTTTGAGAAAAAGATAGATGATAATATTTTGTAGTCCGTTATGATAAGTTAATTTGCAATTTTTCTCTACTAATACGATGTTTATTTTTAAAGGAGAGGAACAAATGAAAAGAAAAATCAGTTGATATAAATGTACATATTAATCCATATAATATTACAATGATATTTAACGTTTAAGTGAGACAACAGAAAGTCATTCATAGATCTCCGATGTTGATACTGTAACAATGTATGTTTAAATAGATTATAAATATATCATTGCTATGTTTGAGATTATGGAAGAGCAATACATAAAATCAATGTCCTGTTTTTTTTCTAAGTTGAGTTTGTTTTCTATGTCATCATATACCTCAAGACTTCTTAAAATAAGAAGCGTAGTTGGAAATTCGATTGTTATAAAACAGTTCATCATCAGTTAAAATTCATAGAAATAAAAGTTCAGACAAATACATCAAGCCAGTATTCTAAAGAGTCTAGGCTAACATAGCCTATAAAAGATCAGTCTTCAATATGAGAATACGAAACTTTGGGTATTCCGAACTCTCGAGTGATTGGGCGTACAAAATGATATTCCACAAATTTAACTGAATATAACTTCTTCCTATGGTTAAACCTGAAATATCAACTATACAATATTAGATTCAAAAATAGTAATTCAAGTTTACACATGGTTTATTTAGCCATTTACAGTTCTTGCAAAAAATAGACCTCAAACGTTATCTTCATGACGTATTTTAACAGAATACTACCATACATTGCTGAAGAGAAAAAACTTGTTAAATGCCCTTTGTAGTGTAGGAGAAAAACTAGGACAAAAGCGTAAGTCATATATCGTCTAGTCAACATTAGCTGTTTTTTTTGCTTAAATTAGACGCATCTGGTAAACATACCATTTGAAAAGGTGGACTAATAAACTTTATCAACATTCTTAGAAGGATAATCTAATAGTTACCGCTACAAAATAATTCAATGGCTCACTTAAAGCATACCAAAAGTAATTTATTTCTTTTCAACATATCATTATTCTTTAACTAATATCATATCGATAAGACCTATTTGTCATGATAAGTGCCGATAATACTTTTAAGTTTTTTGAATAATTTTCGATAGAATTAAGATAAAAATGATCAATTTCACCTTCAGAAAAAACGAAACGAAATCATATCGAATTGTATATGATTGACTTTTACAATATGTTTTTCGAATCAGAGTTTAATTGGTTTTCTAAAACAATATCTGAGTATAACTCTTTTTATCAACGGCAAAAGGAATAAAATGATTGTTTTTTCTTTGAAAATGGCTTTGGTATTATCATCTTATATCATAACGTACAGCTCTTATTGATATGATATCAGGTGAAGAATGAAGAAATATGAAGCATTATTCTGAATATCAACGCATATTGAGATGTCTTCTGAGTGTGTTTTCCTCAATACTCTATCGAATCCTTATGAGTCGAGCGGAACAAGCAAAGAATAAACCAATCCCTGATGTTTGTTTTACAGAGATATATTCCAAGTTTTACCACACCACTCACGATAAGATTAGAATGGCAGAAGATGCCCTATTAAATGCAGATTGTTCTTTTCTTTTTCCTATTACATTCAATAAAACCTTTTATTACCAAACGTTCATTGCTCAAATTATAAACTAAACAAAATGTGGAAAAATGAACAAAATAAAACCAGTGCCACTAACTCTGATGACTTACCTCCAGCTTATTCACTTCATCAACATGCATGTCTCACACTTAATTGGACTGATCGTCTACGACTCATTCGATTTCCAACAAACATTATCTCTGTTATTCGACAGGCTATTCTCACTAGTTGGTATCCTGGTTTACAAAAAGAGAAAGAATATGCAGGTGCATATGAATTCAAGTTAAATGGAAATCCATGGCATGGTCAAGGAAGTGAAGCAGTAGAAGCTCGAGCTATGATGTATGTTTTTTATTGAGTTAGCTTCATCTTTATCTCGTATATATGCTTAGGATGTCAGTTCTTTCAGCTTTGCATCATCAAGGTTGGTATCTTCTAATGTCAACTGATGTTTCCAAGAAAAAAAGTGATAAAGATTCATTGATTTTTCAACTTGGTATTCCTCCACCATCAACATCATTTTTCGCTGTGTCATTGAATGAATGGGACAAGTTACGTTTGATTGGTGCTCCAAATGAACTAATACGTGCAGCTCAACAAACTATTGGTAAAGATGAAATACAACGAGAAGAATGGATTTATTCAGAAACAGCTTATCAATTTAAATTGTATATAATATTATTTTTCAATGATCTAGTTCCTATAATTTTTTACTTTTAGGATCGGTTATCCATGGGAAGCTGATGGTGACGAAGCAGTGACTAGTCGAATAAAACTTCTGGCTTTACTTGATTGTTTTACATCGTTCGGTTGGCAATTACATGCAAGTATTGATATGAGTATAGGTCATGAAGGTCGTGATACTGACACTTGGTTTTTTCGTCGAAGTAATCAATGATTATTCATATTACTTGTGAAAATGCAAGCAATAACACACACATCTTAAATGAGCATTGTTTATATATGACTTTTTACTATTCCAATAAAAGAAAGAACTATTTAAAAGTAAAAACAAAGAGATAGTGTTGGTGTAGATCTTCTTGCATTTTGCCATTATCTCTGTTAGTTCCACTTTTATGTTACCATTGATTTCAAAAGAGAATGTACTCCACTGTTTATTGAATAACTTTGAATAGAAATGTCATAGAAATCTGTAGCTCATCTTCATTCAAGAGAGATGACTTGAAGCTATCGAAGCATATCAAAAGTTGGTTCGTCAGCAATTGAGCAATCAGATCCATTCCTGCTGGATATTATTGAGAACGATATGTTGTCTGAATCGTTTTTTAATCGATTGTCTAAAACAATGCCTGATTGCGACTAATCAAAGATCAAAAGTAATAAAATGATTTTCAAAAAGAGGGGTTACTAGAGAAAATTACTTTATAAATCGTCATTATTATTTACGTTCATCTTTGAGATTATTAGACTGTGTACGATTTAAAGCTTTTAATTCAATCTCTAGTATTTATGAACATTGAACTCCTGAAATGACTAAATAGAGAAAAGGCATAGTCCATCTTTGCTTTCAGCATCTTATTTGCGAAACGATATATCTCAACGAATTCCAGCATCGTTTTATCATTCTCATTTCATCGTACATGTCGAACTTGAACCTAACAACCTTACAAAACAGATCTTCAACTATTCTAGTATGCAAATATTCAAAATCTCTGATACTCTTTTGACTGATCAAATAACATCGCATTGACTAAGAAACTACGAAACACCGATTTGTTGATATAATAATTCGATTGAACTTTTAAGTTTGCCACTTCAGGTAGACATCAACAACACCTAGTCTATGTGTCAAAGTCAATGCGAACTTAACATGTGAGTATGATGCACATGGAAATTTTTTCATTTAAAATCCACAGATAAATAATTACAATCTCATCTGCTAATTCTTCATAAATTTTCAAACTCGTAGAACAAAGCATGAAAAAACAAAGAATTTGAAAATAAAAACTCAGAAATAGTTCAACATATGATCACTAGATATTGTGGTTTGTGATGGCAACTGTCTCACCAGTGCAACTTATGTGGGCGTTGAACGAACTAGTGGTGTAGTCAGGATTTTATCTATCTCGGAGCGTAGGATCCCTCTTAGTGAACTGCGGAGTCGCATTTTTTGATCCCGAAACCCGACCCGATTCCTAAACTTTTTTTTCTTCAATTCCGAAATCCGACCCGATTCCGAAAATATTGTTTTTGCGATTCCGATTCCAACTCCGACTCCGATCAGAAATTTTTTCGGACTCCGACTCCGACTCCGAAAAACTCCGAAAATTTTTTGTGACTTAGGAGAGAATTTTTTTCAAATGCTCCCTTCGAATTTCAATGATTTTTTTGTCCGTAGATATTACATTAAGTTCTAGTTAAAGTCCTAAAAAAAGATTTGGGTTTGTGTAGCTTTCTTCGAAGGTTATATGTATCTTTATTTTACTTCTACAAAACATAACCTATAACGTTGAAGAGATGGTTTGTCAGACCACCAATTAAGTCATATTTATTTCTATGTATGAAAGATCATATTAAGAAAATTATAAATTCGAAATATCAAATTATTTTGAAATATTTGTAAAAAGTATTAAGAAGCACGATCTTTGCTTTCCTCATGCTTATATCATGTAAATGTAGTAAAAGCTGGTTTATAAATATTAATGGCTATTTCGAGAATATTTTTCTCTAAGACCGTCTCATAAATCCAGAAAAGGTCTTAAAAGGGGCAGAAAAGAATTCTCTATAGAATGTGGTATACCAGTGTTCATAACAATGATTGTTAGTAGTTGATAGCACTTTCACAAGAAAAATGAGTGTATGCTTCGTAGTCATTCTTTTGCCTGTTTGTTCGTGACTTAGACGAGTAATGGCATCGCAAAAAACTGGATCAAGTTTCTATAAACCCTTGATACTGCACTTTTAAAAATTCTTTTCTGGATCATTGAGAAGATATTAGATAGAAAAATTTTCAAAATAACAATCGGTGTGTAAAAACAACTTTTTATTGTTTTCATAATCTAATGACAAAGGAAATGAAGGTTGTACTTCTTGGTGTTTTTTCCCAAGTGCTTCGAAATAACTACAAAATAAATATTTTATGAGATCTGAACTAATTGGTGCTCTAGCGAACCATTTCTTGAACAGTATATGTTGTACCTTATCGAAGTAAAAGAAGTATACGTATAGCTTTTGAAGGAAGCGACGAGAATCCATATTTTTTCAGGGTTTTTACCAGGACATTTTGTAACATCTGTAGACGAAAATTCATTGAAATCTGAAGAGTATCTGAAAAGGTTCTCTCGTTCAACAGTAACTTCTAAAAAAATTTCTTTCAATATTAAACAGGTGAACCCACCAGAGACAAGCTCGAAATTCGGAGTTCAGTTGAGTTTTTTTACTCCGACTCCGACTCCGACTCCGACTCCGACTCCGAAATTTTTTTCGTCTTAATTCCGATTCCTACTCCGATTCCGAGAATTTCTGTTTTTTGACTCCGATTCCGACTCCGACTCCGCCGGAGTCGGAGTCGGAATCGGGTTTAGGACTCCGGTGCAGTTCACTACTCCCTCTCCTTTGATTACGCTACCACAATGAATGCATCTCAATGTTCGAAATAACGATTGATGATTTTCGTAGAAGCCAAACTACAAAGTCAAAACTATTCATGGACAGCAAACTAAAACCTTTTATTCTTATTGTATAGATTGAAAAGATAAGATAGTTGTGCATATATTTTTCAAGAGTATATTTATAAATAGATGCATAGTTGTTCATCGTATAATGAAATGTGAATGCAAATTGCTCTAGTGATAATGGTTAAATTTTTCTTTCGATAACAAGGAAAGTCTCATTCCGTATGTCTTAATTCTTCTTGGTCATGATTTACTTGCTCAACATATTATACAATGCCAGAATCGTCAAATTATATTCATCCTCAGGCCGATTTCTATTCTAACATTTGTTGATGAGAAACTTGTCGAAATTATTTGCGTTCATCGATACTTAGACAAAGATCTGACAATAATCAGAGAATTTTCTCTATAATCAGATCAGATAATTGTCATTTATTGTCCATCACTCAAACTTGCTCGCTATGAAAATGTCATTGTGGTACGTCAACAAAACATTGTTTATTTTATGTTATAATAAATATTTGTATATAAAAGTAGAGGAAAGACGAAAAACTGTAAACGACACTTTTTTTTCAACATCAATCATTCATCTGATGTTTTTGGCGTGATTCACTTCGAGAAAAAATAATATACGACAATTCATCATTATTTTAACCTTGATTATTCACTTATTTATATTGCATATACTTTGCTTTAAAAAAAATACGGCAATATTCATCAAATTAGTTACACAATCCATGTGCTATTTGACTCAGTTTAAAAGTTTTGCTCTATATATATCAGTCTCATAAATATGTAAAATAATTTCTGTTTATATCATCAGTCACAGGTTAAACCAAATATTGAACTAATCAATAAACGATTTTTTTGCATATTTCAATAAGCAATCGGACTGGTGAGTAACGTTTATTTTTTTTTTTGTTTTGAAGCTTTATGTGAGAATTAGACAAAAAAGAATGATCATGAAGAAAGCTGGTTTCTTTTTTAGTTTTCGAATAATAAATAGAAGCATTTTTTAGACACAAAAGTTGACAGCATAATGGAAGTTATTGCCAATGTGTTCAAAGATAATATGACACTTGTCGTACCGTTCAAAACAACTGATAATCTAGTCAATGTTCGTCAAACTATTCAAAAATACTTACCCATTGATCTAACTAAATACGTCATAATGTACAAAACAAATGATGAGAATACAAAGCAAATTCTAATCGAAGATATTCTTCCTCAATTACTATTAAACTCTAAAAGATTGAATCTGTTCCTAGAGGAGTTAGAACCAAATGAAGTAAGGAAATATTTTTCACATATTATTTTTATCTTTTTTTTCTAATAACATCAATCGATTCCTTATAGACGTCTCAACGAGATGATAGTGGTGTTGGAATAATTAACTTAAGTACGTCGTTTATTTATTCCAAAATTACTTTTAATATAATATAATAAATATATTTTTAATCTCTGTTTCTAGATGTTTCTGTTTCGTTACCAGTTGTACGACATACAAGTACAATAAAGAATGCAAATCTTGATCATAAACGTAAAAAATGGTTAAAAATAGAACAACATTTTGATGCGAAAGTAATTTCAACAAAATTCTACATATCAGAAATATCATCGAATGATGGAATTACTTATTTAAAATCACATTTGATAAAAAATGATATGCCAATTCCAGTTCAAGAACTCATCACAAAAAATTTGCATATTTTAGCTCAAGATACTTCGCCTATTTCTGATTCCAGTTTAGAAATAAATCGAAATGATTTCAACAACAATCAATCTGTTGATATAATTACTAAGATAAAATCAAAAATTTTTCAAAATCAATTAATCGTTGTTATTGTATATGCTGTTGTGGATAATAAACAAAAAAACTTCGCTACATCATTGATTAAAAAAATGCTTTCTCATCAAAAGTCTAATCAAGATATAGAACATATGTTAGATGAATGGATTGATGAAAATATTGTTTCGTTCAACTAGAAATCAATTACATTACAAATCCACTAGGTACTTTTTTCATGTAACTATAAACTATAAGTTTATTTTTCATTGATTACAACTATCAAAATAAATATAGAAATATTTTGTGATGTAAAAGCATTCTTTGTTATCATCTGTTCTTTATCAATTCTTTTTTACTCTGAATAATATTAAAAACTTATTGCAATCATGCAAATAGATAACTTCATATTAAAGTTTAGAAAACAAAAATATCATATATAAGTAGATATGGAAGTGTACCATTATCTATAGTTGATTTATCAATCAAGATTAAATAAAATGGACGATGTAATGTTGTACAATATCATTATGAAAATAGACTAATAAGCAATTTTTAAACGTTTTAATAAAATTTGTTTTGTGCGATGAACAGCTTTAATAATTGTATATTTTCATTCAAAGAAAATACAAACTATTAATCAATCAAATAAAATGAAATAAAATATTTTCAGTAATATACATTTGAATAATGATCATATATATAATTATAAAATAAGACTACATTGGCTGACACTTGATAGGAATAATAAAATATAATTCACAACTAACTTCTTGAAGTTTTTTATTCGAAAATATAACTATATCAACTATATTTGAAATAGAACCATAAAAAAACAATTATAATAAGAAATGTTATAGTTATCTGAATCATAGATCTTGAATAAATAAAATTAATATTTCTTTGTTTCATTTCTATTCACATTAACATATCAAAAGTTATTCGTAGGTCATCGACAAAGAGAACAAAATGGACATGATGAACATAAACAAACAGAATTATAATGATCTAGAGATGATGCTCGTTTTGTACACAAACAAAATTTTACATTAATCACAATTATTATATTCGTGATCAAAATTAAATCAATTACTATGACTATCTTCAGTACGAAAACATATTTGGCATCCATGATAGAAGTATTCGAATTTTCTATTCATTGAACAAGGTGAATGATAGGATTTCAAACGTTTTAAATATGTTTATTCATATAAAATTGTTTGATTAAATATATCACTAATATTTAAACATTGGTCTGATAATGCAAAAGATATATGAAAAGGTTGACACGGAATATTTTCTTTCGCCAGCATATGGTAAAAAGAAAGCGTGACGATTTCTTGATAAATCAGTCTAATCGAATCTACATGATTTTTTCGTATAGAAATAAAGTTGATGCAGATATAAACTATGCCTTATATGTTATAAGTGATTTTAGTAGAGATTTACAGGCTTACGATCCTGATTACTACATTTTACACATGTTTCTTGATGCATGTACTTGTTACTTGTCGCAAACTTAATGAATTATATACCGATGGATAGGCCATGAAAAGTGTGGGTGCTTTCTTCTGTACACTGATATCCACATATACACCCACATCTTGGATATCCTGAAAAGAGTTCGGGTTCGTAAGTCATTGCTAAGGTATATGCATGGAGCTAGATAGGTCGGTTTTCACAGGTTAAGTGAAGAAATTTAAATGATCGGTCGTTTCGGTTGAGAAAAAATCCGATCGATATCAAGCATGTTGTAGCAGTACTGCATATTTGTGGTACCTTTTTAATAAATATCATTATAGTCCTCAGGGTCACCAGAAAAAACTGATTTTGAAATTTTCAATTTAAAAGTTTGTCTCTATGAAAAGCTTCAAATCAAAATTTGAAAAATTACATTGTCTGGTGTTTCAGTGATGTACTACAACAGTATTGGTTTAAAAAATACCGTCAAAATATATTATCGCCGCATCAATATGATAACAGTACGAACTTTTTCAAAATATTCATAACTCATTTGGTCTACATAATATACATAGTCTTGACTCAACAGCGATTTATCACTTCACGAACGTCTCTTAATACTCAGTACTCTACTCACTTTTGATAAGTGTAATTTTAAAAGACGGTACACCAATCGGAGGTGTCTATCTTACCCAGATGTATTCCAAGTTTTACCCTGCAACTCAAAATCTACCGAGAATAGTGGAAGACCAAATTTAATATCCAAAACATTTTCTTTTTTTTGTCTTCCATTACATTCAACAAAATACTTTCTGCCAAGCCTTCATTGCGTATATAATTAACACAACAAAATGTCAAAAAAGGAATTTAATGAAATCGGTATCACAATTGCCAATGAGTTACCACCAGGTTATTCATTGCATCAACATGCATGTCTCACACTTAATTGGAATGATCGTCTACGACTTATTCGATTTCCAGCAACGATTATCAGTGTTGTTCGACAGGCCATTCAAGCTAGTTGGTCTCATGGCATACAGAGAGAGAAAGAATATGCAGGTGCATATGAATTCAAGCTTCATGGGTATCCTTGGCACGGTCAAGGAAGTGAAGCAGTAGAGTCTCGAGTTTTGATGTATGCTTTTTATCAAATTCACTTCATGTTCATCGTGTATTTATGTATAGGTTATCGATTCTTTCAGCTTTACATCATCATGGTTGGTATCTTTTAACGGCAACTGATATTTCGAAGAAACAACAAGATAAAGATTCATTGATTTTTCAACTTGGTATTCCTCCACCATCAACATCATTTTTCGCTGTTTCATTCAATGAACGAGATAAATTACGTTTGATTGATGCTCCACAGGATCTAATACGTGCAGTTCAGCAAACAATTGGTACAGATGAAATACAAAGAGAAGAATGGGTTTATTCAAACACAGCTTATCAATTCAAATTGTATATAATATCATTTTCTATAACTTAATCTATGTAAAGTTTCACTTGCAGGCGTGGTTATCCATGGGTAGGCAATGGTGATGAAGCAGTGACTAGTCGAATAAAACTTCTGGCTTTACTTGACTGTTTTACATCGTTTGGTTGGCAACTGTATGCAAGTATTGATATGAGTATAGGTTATGAAGGTTGTGATATTGACACTTGGTTTTTTCGTCGAACTAATCAATAATTATTTATATTATTTATGATCAATACAAACATTCAAATACACATCCGAGATGAACATTGTTTTTTTAAGACTTATTATTATTCCAATAACATGACGAATCATGTAAGAGTAAAAATAAATCACATTGTTAGTGTGGATTGTGGTACATCATCCTTGTGCATCACGAACACACTCCAAATTTCGATAGAAACATCATGAAGGTTAACGATATTCACCATTCGAGAGAGAAAATTTGACACCGTCGATTTAATATATCAGAATTTTATTGACCAATAGTTAAGTCATCAGAGGAGCTTATACAGAAAATGTTCAAAAACTATATTCATAAGTTGTTTTCATTTCGATTTAGACTTTCAATAACGCTAATTTATAGGAAAAATTCTTTTCTTTCCGTTTGTGGAAGACTAACATTTCTAACTAGCTCCGCGTTCGAGTTTTTTATGACTGTTTTAGTAGAAGAGTTATTTTCCACTGACTAATCCTATTAAGAGCCTAAACCAGAGGAAAAAAGGATTCAAAATATTGATTTTGACCATCTATATCAAGAAATTATCTAATTAATTAAATACCGATCAATCAAATTTCGATATAATTCGATGACCTAGGTCTTCTCTTTTAAATACTGAAAGCGCAGCTTTCTATCGTTTTTCTATCAAAAGTTACTCAAAAAACATAGGAGCACTATAAATTTTGAAATGGATAGTAAAAATCATTTTCGATATAACTTCATGAAAATCTGCAAATCGAATAATTTTTATTTGGAAAAAGAAATTCCAGTTGTTATGATGCATATAACTATTAGAAAGACAAGTATTGTTTGTATTAATTTGTTATTTATTAGTAGCACCTTTTATCTTTTGTTTCTATTGGTTTAGCTTAGTCGTCTGAGTTGAGGCTTTTATTATTTTATTTCGAATTTGTCGAACCATTTCTTGCTTTTTCAGCGTTTATAATCTGTTCATCGGCTAGGTTTCTTTTTCATTTAACTATTATTTTTCGTAAGTGTTCTGAGAATATCAGATAAATACATTAGAACTTGGGCGTTTTAAGTTTTTAATATGTTTTCCGAATACTTTTTCAATCAATTTTTTAAAATCGTGTCTGAATATGGTATTTTTTTATCAAGGACAAAAAAGGTCACAAAGTGCTTCCTTTAAAACGCAAATTCGTACAAAAACGACTTGAAATTTGCAGTACAATACTTATATAAGTACTAAATGATGAAATCTGTGAACTTTGTGCAAGTTTATAGATCTTTAATTGATATTTTATAATTTTTGTTATAAAGCACTTTATTTGAGCGAATTTTTCTGATCGATACTCATCATTAATTGGGATTTTGAATGCAAACCTGATTATTAAAAATTCCACGGCAAACACCTCGACGAGTAGGTTTGTTTTTAAAAAGATCAGCTAAAAACTTCAAAAAATAACCAGATGAAAAACCTGTAATATACAATTCGATGTGTTTTCATCTCTGCTTTCTACAAGTGAAACTCACTATTCGTTATCGTGATTCTATCAGAAGCTATCCAAAACATGCACACTCACATTTTTTTTTCTTTGAAGATGACTTTACTCTTATCGTCATATATTATGACAGATAGTTGTTACCGATATAATGTCAATTGAAGAATGAAGACATATAGAGCACTACTTTTTCTATCAGCGCATATTGACATGGGTTTCGAATATGCTTTACTCAATACTCTACCTATTCCTTATAAATAGAGCGCAAAAAAGTATAGACCAATCCGTAAGGTTTATTTTACTTAAATTTATTTCAAGTTTTACCATAGAATTGAAGATAAAATCAGAATGACAGAAGATTTCACATTACATGAAGATTGTCATTTTCGTTTTCTATTTCAATCGCTAAAGTATTCTTTTTTTTTTACCAAACCTTCATTGCGTATATCGTTATCTTAATAAAATGTGGCACAATGAACAAAATATAAACCGTGCCCGTATCTCTAATGGCTTGCCACCGGCTTATTCACTTCATTAGCATGCATGCCTCACACTTAATTTGACTAATTCATCTACGAC